GACACAAAAATCTGAATTTTATAACATTTAATTAACAATTTGTCAAATGATTAAACAGTGGAATAGATGAATAATAACCGTGTGATATGATTGAAGATGGATGTGTTTGCATGTGATGGAGGATGTATGAATGGGGTCCTTTGTTCTCACAAAGGAGTAGTGTGTGTGTGTGTGTGTGTGTGTGTGTGTGCGTATGTATGGATTCAAAATGGAGTCTTGAATACAAGATGGCTGACCCCTTTGTCTGGCTAAAGTGTGGGTGGCAACTTGCACTTTAACTTCCAAAGCACTTAGAATCAGTAGTAACTTAACCTTAAATCACTCAAAACATTTCAAAAGATCATGAAACAACACAAAAGATTAATCACAAATTAATATCTTTTAGTTTCAGCCTGGCCATGACAGAAACCATTTTAAGATACCAAACAATGATCAATAAGCAGTTTATTCTTTCAAAATGACCCGACGGACGTGTTTGGGACGAAAGAGGAAAACACGAAGCTACTTTTTAAGCAATAGCGCGGTTTTATTGCTTATTCTGGACTATAGAGTTAACGGAAGAAGAAGGAGAGAGAGAAAGAGATGAGTTGCTGATCACCAGAAGAGCGAGGCGTCCCTCCCTCTTTGATTTGACGGTTCTCCGTGTTTCTCCGCAGCTTTCGGCGTCGTCCGTCGGTTTGATGCTTTCTCCGTTGTTTGGCGTTCACGAGTGTTTCTCCACGGGCTGGACAGAGACAGCAAAGTTTCTTTCTGTGCTGAGTTATAACTTACAGCGTGCTTGATGGAGTTGTTGCTTTCCTCCACAGTTCTGTGTCCTCAAACATCAGCTGGAGGGGAGCAGAAACGAGCAGATCTGATGGGCTTGCAGTTTAGTTTCCAGCAGTTCCGTGGGCTCAACTTGGGCACTTAGAGCTTCCGCGTGCTCAAGGGAGTCGGAGCGTTGACAAGCGTGTCCTTACCGCCAGGTATCCTGGGCAAAAGAACAAGGTTTCTTTGTCTCTGCTGAAGATTTATGGTCTTAGTTCGCGGGAAAAGCTCCACGGCTTCCCGCACATGCGCAGAACGTGTTTCTGGTACTAGGCGGTGACGTCATCACAATGCTTCCGTGTGCAAAGCATCATGGGAAATGAAGTTTCTTGGCGCTGATGTGATTATTTGCTTTTCAGAGCAATTTAAGCACAGTCATTTTGGAGAAAATCACTGCATAGTAATTTCCTCATGAGGTCAGACCCTCAACATGCTCATACAGGTGAGCTGTGGCATCATTTCCAGCTCTCGCTCCTATTCACCAGAGGCGATCCTACATGCAAACTAAAGGGGGGCATTGGAAGGGCACCCCAGAAATGTAGCCCCCTCCCCAGGCCAGATAGTTTGTGTGTGTGTGTATGTATGTATGTCTGCATGTATGTATGTATGTGTGTGTGTGTATATATATATATATATATATATATATATATATATATATATATATATATATATATATATACACACACACACACACTTTTTTCTTTAGCAGGCCATATTGTGCAGAAGAGAAGATCTAGTTTGTCACCAGACAATGTGAACAAGCTGGTCTGCTTGAGTGACTGGTGGAAGAAGGAGAAATAGAGCCTGGACTGATTGACCAAATGCTACTGACTGTAAATAGTTAATCATGACCTATTCTGTTGACCTACAGTGCAGAATTAGTTGAACTGAATAAACAGCTACTAAACACAAATACTTATTGATCATTATTTATTTTCATCATCAGTTATCGTAGTAAAACTGCCTTGATCAGTCTGTGATGCATTATTGAAACAAGAAATACGCCTCCATTCTCAAAGACTTGCTCTTATTCATTATCTAGGTAGCACACACATATGCCTTTGGCAGATTTTGAATGAGCCATTTTAATCTAGATTAATCTTGATTAATTCCAAGATTACAGTGAGATTAATCTAGATTAAAAAAATTAATCTATGACCACCACTACTTTTTATATATATATTTATTTTTATTTTATTTTTTTAGAATTATTGTTGTTTTTATTTCTTTATGGTTTTTATCAGTCATTACAGCATCACCCGTCTGCTTTTCTGTGCAAACATCCTAACAAATCCATCCATATCCAGGCCTGTTATGGCCTTCTTGTGATCCAGAATGACTACATTTCTTTTTCTCTCGTGTAGCGTAGTACGGCAGAACGGGGTAAGGACACGAGACAAAGAAGAGAAAGAGCTCTCGCATGATGCTGCTGATATTCCAGTCACAAGGGAGGTCACATACGTGTGATGGAGCTGAGGAAAGGCATTCTTATACCCGTGTAGATATTTGGTCTACAAACTCTTCACTGTTACCATCATCGTCCCTTTGAATTCTTTCTCCAACATTATTTTTGCAACAAAAATCTCATTGGAAAGTTTGTCACTTCCTGTCATTTTCTGCAGAGGACGTAACATGTCAGGATCCAGAAGAGAGGGAGACTGAGGCTGAAGGTAGCTAACTGCTTTCATGAGATTGAGATTGCTTTTGGAGAATCTTGTCTCCATCTCTACAACGACTATGTCCAAAACGTTGAGAAGAGCTCTCTTCAGAGCCTGGCTAGGGGATGTGGAGTCTTCTGCGTGGCCCACAGTGGACATTACAACACTTCCTGTTAGCAGTGAGCCTGTTTTTCTTTGTCTTTTAGCAGCTGGTGCAGGTGTGCTGGTTAATGTCTCTCTTTCCTCCTCTCTCATCTGCTTCAAAGCCTGCAGAGATGCACTGACTACTTCGGAAGCACAGCACAGGTCAACAGAGTGAGACTGCAGCATAGAAGTTGCAGACTTCAGGGAACCCAGAACTTTTAGGAGGAATTTTCCTATTTCAAAGAAATGCCTCCTGAACATCATCAGCAGTCCTGATGCCTCTGTACAGATATCAACAGCAGCAGCTCTGTCCTCTGTAACCTCTGACAGGATACTCATAATAGCATCCTGATTCTCCACACGGCACTTGGTCACATCATGGTGGCTTGTCCACCTGATCTCCAACAGTCGTTTCAGGGAGGAACGTCGTAGTTCTGTGAAACATGATGACGGTGGAAAAATGAGTGTAGAGATCCTGAAAGATCAAAAGAGGTTTTTGCACATGGCTCTGCCTGCATTGCATGGACCACTGCCAAGTGCAGCTGGTGGTTGTAGCGGTGGATGTAGGGAACATCCTTCCCTACCTTCTTCTGCAGTAAGGCCTGAATCCCACCCCTGACCCACTCATGACAGAAGCTCCATCATAGCACTGACTGATCATTTCAGCTGCACTATAGCCTGAGTCAGAGAGATGCTCAAGGGTTTGGGTGGTAATGAATTCAGCATCTAACTGACTGAGGTCAAGCAGACCGATCAGGTGTTCCTCTGGAATGCCGTTACAGACTAATCTAACCATGACTGACTGATTCTCCACATCTGTCCCTAGTTCCATCACTTTTAATGCAACTCCCAGCATAATATTCTTTGTCATATCTTTGATCTTTTGTTTGCCAGTGTTGCAATAATTTGTTTTGTATGTTGTGAGATGTGTATTTAGCATTTTCTGGGATGTGTTTGTTTATTTCATTAAATCTGGAGTCTTTGGCCAGTGTGTAGTCGACCATTGTTAAGAACAGTCCTGCAGAGAAATCATCACCACTGAAGCTTTCCACACTAGTTCATTTACTGCTAGGAACTGAACTACTTCTCCAATAGTTTTTACGTAGTATCTGTTTTTCTCGATATGTGTGGGACTTATTAAACTACCTATCGTTTCCCCTGTGGCCACTCTTTGGGACATTTCAGACCAGCTTTTTCATTTTTTATGTGGCATTGACTTGATGCATGCTTTGTGAATCCCTTGTCCTTTTCCAGTGCTGTTTTCCAATTATTAAATCCTTGTTTTGTGAAAACCAAATCCCTATCATTGTTACCCCCAAACTTACGACATGGGAAACAAAAGCACGCATCCAGCTTTACTGAATATTCCAGCCATGGTCTCCCACGACACCAGGCAGGGCAAAATGAGCGCATGTTCTTCCCAAAATGGCGCTTGGGGAAAACAAGAGCGGCGGGTTGGGACGGTGCGCTACTGTTCAGGCCTGTGTCACCCACAGCGACGGCTGGGTTGGTAGCGACGGGGACAGCAGGAGGGGCTGCGGTGCCTGTGCAAATGGTTGTGGTGAGTTGAGAAGCAGCAGCCCACAAGCCGGCTTCTGCCACAAGTGCCTTAGCAGTGTAGCTCGGTTTAGAAACCAGAAACCTGCCAGTGGCGTGGCCAGATCTTTTAAAATGGGGTGGCCCCAGTAGTGCACCAATGGTTATGCTTTTTCTTTTTTACCCCAAGCTTTTTGTGGAAAAGTATATTTAAAGGAAATTCAGTGGGATGGCCAATCAGATTCCAAGGGTGGCATGTGCTACCCCAGGCCACCCCCTGGACACACCTGGTTTTAATCAGCAACAAATAGCTGAGCTGCTTAACAGCTAATCTAACCTGTTAAAGCAGGAAAACCACTGAAACGTGCTGGATAGCAGCTCTCCGGTAGCCCTGGGCTTAAGTTACAGTCTGCTGCATAGAAAGTTATGAAAATACCCCATGAGAAATTATTCTGTAATGTGTTCAGCCCACTAAAACTGCCCTGATTTCATTATTTATTTACTGATACCAGCTGCTCTCTTGTAGGTGACCCTCTGGTGTCTGCAGGTGGTCTCCTGCTGGTGTCGTCAGGATCAGGAGCTTCTAGAAGAATGTGCCTTTCAATGACTCTTTCCCCCTTATTTGTTATATTAATTAAATAAATCTCAATTTATATATTTCTTGTTTTTGTTCATGTCCATAAATACATAAACATGCTTGAAATTAAAACGAGCTTTTAACAGTGAGGTGCTAGTTTAATTCATCTCAATAGAGCTAGTTAAACATGCAATGTGATAATTCAATTAATGTAATTTATAAATATCCATTAAAATATCAAAACTGGAATCAAAATGAGATATTTGGCAGCACAAAAAAACTTGTCAAACACAATATTTATTATAATAATTGTAGGCAGACAGGAGACAGAGCTGATGGAGGTTCTCAGTCATCAAAGGATGGCTGAAGGCTTTCCAGGAACAGGAGATGTGGTGTTGTCTCTTCTCTCTCTATTCTGCCAGATGAGCTGATAGGTTACAGGTGTGTGAGGACATCCTCATGCTGTCATAACCAGATGACAGGAGTTATCAGGTGATCAGCCAGGCTAATGATGAGAAGCAGAAAGAAAACAAATCCAGGACAGTGTACAGTAATAACAGTAATATGTGGTGTTGCTCACCTTATGTGCTCTTATAGAGTTATTAACGTGTGCCTGCCTCATGGTGTAGAGTCCATATTTTGATGAGTGTCCTGCAATAATGCAGGTTATTAGTTAATTTACTTTTGATAGCAAAGAACAAAATATTTAATGTAAAAGTTATTTATCAGGTGAATCATCTCACATGTCACCACCACGTGTCACAGGGGCAGGATCAGTAGCCTCCATGATGTCATGATGTAATCACATACTTATTTAATTGTTAATATCTTAAAAATTCTGAAATGTTTTAATTTTTTTTACCTTGAACAGTTCACTGAGCTTGCACTGTCACTGAGGTGGAAGCTGGAATCAACAGCAGACACCTCACATCTTGGTCTTTTCAGCGGTGTGGACGCTGCTCTGGGACTTTCTGGAAGATGAATTTCCATCATGGTCTCTGTGGGTCACCAGACACACTGCGGCTGTGAGCTCTAAACTGCGTGGCTATGTAAAAAACAAAGAAGCAGCACATTTATAAATGTTTAAAAGAGCATAAAATCACGTGTAACAGTAATCTGTAAAACAAATTAAAACTAGAAGGTGATAATAAAATGTTTACATAGAAGATTATTAAAAATAATTCACCTTTGCTACGGGTAAGGCTTCACGTCAGCCTGGACAAGTGCATTCTTGCAGCTAAATCAGTCTGACAGCCAATGTCTTGGGTAGATTTGGCCTGAAAAAAAAAATAGAAGCACATTGATGTTGTTTATAAAGTCAGATAATATACAAAAGAAAGTGTCCTACATAGGCGCTTTATAACATTCCTAGTGTGTGATCGTTGTTATAACGTAAAAGTCACTCACACATGATGTGGAGAGCCTGAAATGCGACCTCCTGAACAGAATTCCTCACGGAACCGGGTCACAAGCTGGATTTCACGCTGTAATGGTGTCTGTCAACTAGTGCTGCGTTAGTTAGAGTCACTGTTGCAGAATTACCGACTGACACAAAAGCAATCCGAATTTTCTCCGAGCCTGACAGTAGTAGTCATGTTGACCGTTTTGTCGGCCAGGGATTCGAGACATGTCCCGATTCGCCGCTGACTCTAACCTTACATCCTGTTCCACATTTTGTGAACTTGACAAATCTGCCCGAAGGCAGCGCAGGCTGATATTAGCTAGATGGAGTGAACCACTTTTCTCAAACTTCGCATTTAGGTAGGGAATTGTCTTTAGAAGATGTTAAAACTTTTATTTAGCTTACTCACCTCAGACTGGAGCCCGCCGTGGTGGGGGAGCAGAGTTGGTGGGCTGCATCTAAATTGCGGAAGAGCCACGGTGGGCACAGCCTCCCTCTTCAAACGGAGACGTGCAGAATCGCGGGTAAAATGCTGGTTGCAGACTACAGCACCAGGCGGGAGCTGAAAGTTTTCCAGACACCGATTGCGCGCAACCACTGGCGCCTAACGTCTAAGTCCAGCAGAAAGGAGTGCAACCCCACAGAGCAACCGCAACCATACTACACTACACCTTCTCACCATACTAACACGATATGGAGCACTAAACCTGAACTACTTTCCTAATAACACTAACAGCCAAACACTAACTAAACTACACTATCCAACAGCCAAGCTAACACTAAATAAGTATGTATAACACTAAAAGCTATGCTAAAGACTAGGATATGCTAATGCTATATGCTAATGCTGAACTACGGCTGACCTCCTACACTCGCTTGCAAATCCAACTCCCAACTCGCCACAAGGCGTGGCCGAGACTCTCGATGCTTTTATAACTTTGACACAGAGCTGCTACGTAGTACTCTACTGGTTTACGTAGTATCTTTCTCTTTAGCCATTGGCTAAAATTTATTCAAAATGACTCAAATTCTATGTTTTAAGCTGAAGGTAGCGCTATACTGTGGTATTTAGGCAGAATTTTTAAAGAAAATGCACCAAAATGCTAAAATAATGAATACACACATTTAAAACACTATTAGACACTCATTTATACAGTTCATCAGCAAAAAAAAGTTAATTTAGACGTTACTTGCTCTTTAAGTCCAGGTGGAGACTTTTATTTGGCCAGGCTGTTTATGTCCACAGGACGTGGACAGAGGCTCTCTAATCCCTGAGAGAGACGCTGACTGCAGAAACAATAAATAAAACGTACAGACGGTTGGAAGCTGCTGTGTTTGTTTTTACTCTGCCCTGTTGTGGGCTACTGTACCTGCTCCGACCTGCACGGCTCAAAAGAGTTAAATATTTTTACACACCGGAGGTTTTAAAGCTCTGATTTATCCCACTAAATGACTACCTGTGTGATTCACGGTGTCTATCATGTTGAATCCTTTAGCAGCTTGACTGACAACTCTAATTAACTTCATGTTTTCCCTCCACCTATCAGAGCTGTAGCTGTCTTCTCAGTGATCGTCTTAATTCAGCGATTATAACACAAGTGCTAGATTCGGAGTTTGCTTCGTGGAAGAGTTTTAAAATCTTCCTTCTTTTGGATCCAGAAAACTAATGACAGCAGGTCTGGAGATGACAGTGAAGCTGAGACCAGAGTAAAATGGGAGAATGGAAGCACTGACTTCATGTAGCGGCTGACTGGGCATCAGTTAAAGGAAATATTAGGTCCACTTCTCATCCGTCACACCTTTGACATCTCTCCTTGAGATAAATGGACACCTTGACTTGAGGAGGAGTAAACTGTGAGCTGTTCTCAGTGGGCGGTGAGCATGAGACAAACAGGAAGCGGTCTGCTGACAGAGCTGACAGCGACATCACTCATCCTCTCCTCTCCCTGTGGCCCACAGGTGAAGATCTAACAACCTCTTTTTTTAAAAAGCCACAAAGTTAGGAGGCCGTCCAACTGTTGTCAGTGGAAACTCACGGGACACCAGGAGTGTTTTTTTACCAATTCCTTTCCACTTTCAGCTCACCAGACATGAACTCTGCATGAAGGTGATGCGTGTTACCCTGGTTCCACGTAGCCGCCGGGTTAGCCGAGCGTTACATGAGAGTACTGTGGGCGGGGCCCAGGGTACCTGCTAGCTTTACCTGGATAATCCTAGAATAAATACAAATGTCGAACGATGATGTATCCACTTAGCAGTAACTTTGGAAAAGTGAAGTCCTCTGATGCTTCTATACACTTTCATTCTATACACAATGATTCAAAAACAGGAACGCTTTATGTAAACCCATCAAATTAAAATTAAAACGTGCGTCTAAGATGTAACTGAGTCGTTGATGGAGATGACTCAAAACTAAATGGGTGTTTCACCTGACTGGAGCAGATGACCAGGTGGTGTCAGAGAGACCTGCAGCTAGGGGGCGACAGTCCTGCTACAGCAGTGAAGCGGAAGTTTACGGTAAGACAGGCACCCGTCTCCCGCTCCTCGTGTTGAGTCTGTGAGAGCTCCACAGGGCGTAGAGTGGAAATAAACAAGAGTTGGTACTCCCCTTAGAAAAATATCCGGGGGTATTTTGTGGCCCTCCCCATTACAAAATATCATTTAGGTTTCCAACGCAGTAGGCACCGGTCAAATGAACAGCCTTTCTCAGCAGACAGAAGATAAACACATCCCCTTTTTCTGGTTGCATCTCCTCCATGAGCTCAGCTGATGCTGTGCTGCTCCTGAGCTAAGCCATGAGAACCTGGACACTCTTGTGCCTTGGATGAGTCTCGGGTTGAGAGGCTTCACTCAGCAGAAGCACCTGAAGAAATGTTAACATCAGGCTTCAGTACTGACCCTGATATGAGAAGGCATCCGTCATACAAGCAGCCATAGATTTGTTTTGGGCCTAAAGTGAAATTATTCTATCAAATTTATGGAAATATGACTACCGTAAGTTCTCTGGCATCGGCCTGTATTCCATTACCTGTTATCTTTAATCCCTATTCCTGGACTATTATGCCCAGCGGCCGGCTTCACAGCACAAACTTAACCGCAGTTTTGATAACTTTAACGCTCTCAGGCTCAAAAGAAGTTTTGATAAAAGGACGAACAACTAAGTCCTTCAGGGGAACTTCTGAGTTACAAAATGCTCATGAAGTACGTACGTGGAGTAACCAGGTAGGTAGGTTTTAACCTGCCTGCCTCCAGAGGGTTAAAGTGCTATTGATCTTAAAATATTTTAATAAATAGCGTACTTACCCATCTTTAATTAATTAGTTTCACAAAACACGACAGCAAGTCTGATCACGCATAAACAATAGAGTCACTTCCCACTTCCTGTTCTCTAGTCCCGCGTGATGTTGTGACTATCACGCAACTTTCCAAGAAGCGTTCAACGGCACGATGCGGCGCGTGCTGTGTGACCATTTGACTTATCAAAATCACGGCCGCCACGCAGCGCTTCTGCCAGTGGCGTGTCCAGATCTTTTAAAATGGGGTGGCCCAGGTGAGACACAACTTTGTGCATGGGTGGCACCAATGGTTATGCTTTTTTTGTTTTACCCCCAAGCCTTTTGTGGAAATGAAAAGCCTATTTAAAGGTAAATTAGTGTGGTGGCGGCACCTGGGGTGGCCAATCAGATTCCAAGGATGGCATGTGCCACCCCAGGCCACTCCCTGGACACGCCCCTGGCTTCTGCCTCCATCAAGCCCCAGGCTTTACTTACTTTGTTGACAGGGTGTAAAGACGCCCAAATTCCGTGCAATTGGGACAAAAACCACGTTTTATTGTTTTCATTGTGTGTCCCGAAGGTAGTGCGCCACAAAGGACTTACTGAATAAAGATGGAATAGTGGATCATATTCTCCGGCTGCAAGATGAGCAGAAACGGAACACAGGTAAAGGTTTACTAAAGGTTTCTTATGGCGTTTTATTGAACAGCTGAGAAACGCAGCCACAAAAACAGCAGGTACACCCTTTGATACCGTTTTCACGTGTTCTCACCGCGAATAGCTGCTAGAGTGCTAATGTTTTAACAGCTAGCTCGGTGTTGTAATGTGGATGATGAGGATGAGGATTAACTAGGTACGATGTCTGTGGCCTTTTGTTGTGACTCTATAATCTAATGATCACACGAGTGTTTACAGTGCACTACCGGCATGCTCTCTACGTTTGCTACCACACTGGGATTTAGCCCGAAACAATGGCGTTTGTTGTAAATGTTCTATATGAATATGTACGTACAATGTTAACTGTACATTTTCAATAAACAAGCCTAGTGTTTTATCAGTTCAAACAGACACAAAATCTTGATTTTATTCATTCTACTGGTAGTTTTTTAGCTCAAACTGAAGTTTTTTCTCACTACATCACTCCTCTGGTTTTGAATTTTTCATTCTTGTGCTGAGTCCTGATCTATGTTTCCATTTGGATGCCATCTACCTACCTCCATGGTAGTGACGAGTGATACCACTGATGGCCTTTCCGGTCCGATATCAAGTAAAATTAGTTTCAGCGATACCGATCGCGCACCGATACTTTACTCAAAGATTTTTGTTTGAAAAATTGAAATACAAAGTTATATATTTAGATTATAACTATGTAGTTGAGGGTCTGCGAGTTTGTTTTTGCCTGGAAGTTTATATTTACAGTTAGATGTGTTTTTTATTATTATTTTATCTACAA